TGGAATAGTTAAAGAATATGACCTGAGTTTTCCTGCCAATATGATAACTCTTTTAGAGTCAAAATGGTATGTATTTCTTTTCCTTAGCATTGTTATAGTAAAGCACACCTTATTTTTTTTTAAATCTATGAATGCTGCAAATCAAACGGCTCCCTAAATATCAATACAAATCTTATTCCCGTTTCAAGGAAATAAGAAATATATGACAGTCCATAGCTGAACACAAAAAAAAATTCTTCCTCTGACATTTTATGCTCCTGCTTTATTTCCATTCACATTATCTTGGACATTACTCTTAGGAAAGTCATTAAAAGTTCAAAGGTATGTATGAGATTAAGGCTTTCAGGAGAATGAAATTGAAGATCGGTTTTCAGTACTGATATCTCTTGCAGTATGCAAAAATTTGACATTTCTATTGCTCTTGGGGTATATTATCAGCAGACAGTGAACTTAACTTTGGGTTCCCATGGATTAAGAAAAGTTACTAGCATGCTGTGAAACGGAAAAGCAAAAGATTATCCTCTTTATTCAGCATATGTATGCAGGCTTCTAGCATGCCAAAATTTAAAGGGTATAATTTCTATAATTGGTATTCCTAACACAGTGAAAGTTTTATCTGTATGTTTCTGAGCTTATCTGTATACAAAAGCACAAGTATAAAAGAACAGCCCAAGATTTCTGCTGAGCATGACTTTTTTTTAGAGTCTTTTTTTTCTAAAAATCTTTTCCTCCTATTTATTATTGGGAGATGAAGTAGGAAACTCTTTTACAGCCCTTAGCTAGAGCTAATGGGACCCAGGCAGTATTACTGCCAGAATGAATCTGCATGTTAACTAACCCTTTGTGTAAGGGTCTAGCACCTGACACTCTTTTATATTGCCATAATTAAATAAGTTGATGGGTCAATTAAAGCGAACTTTTCACTAATAATGACCTTTCATTACAACTAAATGAAGAATCAATGGTATGAAGTCAGCAAAGGCTGGAAACACTAATACAGAAAGCCTGTCAGATGCAGACGTAACAAGGTCTGCACCTAAAGCTAAAGTAGGGCTCTGTCATATTAACAGTTGTATCATACAGTCTGATAAAGATTAATGCATTCACCTGTGTTCAACGAACTTGTACTTTAACATGCAATCTAATTTTCTTAAAAGTAACTGTTGTTGACGCTTAGTCCAATGTTTTAATTACCAGCAATGTTATGGAGGTCAATGATTTGTTATATTGGATCTACTTTTAGTAGCAATACAAATATTAAAGAGCTTCAGCAGGATAGGTGAGTGAATTCTCTTTCTTCCACAGCCTCTGGAAACACAAAAATCTCTGAGCAAGGATTCAGTTCTGACAGTGATTTCTAGTGATGGGCTTGTACATGGAAAAGGTCTTCGTATCACCACAGGTGGTTTGATGAGGATGAAGAATTTTGGTAAAATAGTAAGAGATCCGTAATCTTTCATTAGATGTGACAAAAACGTCATGGGTGAGGATACAGAATAATGAGGTTATTCTAGTTCTGGAAATGAAATTTCATTTGTCAAGGTCTCAGAGGTATAACTGTCAGCAATTCAGTCCACATAAAGACCTCAATGGGTCTTGACAGAGCTGATTTTCACCCACTATCCATTAGGTAAAGTTTCTAAAAGCAGTCAGTGCTAGCCTAACTGTAGCCCAAATAACTTTGGTGAAAGTTCACTAATGAGTTCAATGGAGAGTGCCAAATCAATAGTAAGTGCTTTTCAAAGTCCCACCACTTAGTCTTTGAAATAAACACATCAATTAAAAATCATAATATGAAAAAAGCCAAGAAATATCAATGCCAGCCACTTCTTTACTTCAGAAACAACTACACAACAATAGTTGAGCATGTCTGTACAACAGAACACTGCAAATTTCCAAAATATTACAGTGAGAAGGAACACATTCAAACTATGAAAAAACCTTTGTGGCACTATCCATTTAAAGATGCCAAAGAGAAAAACGGATGGATACTTCACTAGATCATTCTTTTATTTATAAATACACAAGTCAGTAGCAGCACAGTTCATTCTAAAAGGGTACTTCATTATTGCAAAGTGTAGTGTTTCTTGATATTTTTCCTCCAGTAAGTAGCAATATGTCAAAACCCACATATTTAACTCACTGCTCTTGATCTCAGAAGACCATGGCATACCCTAAAGAACAAACAGTTGAATAGTGTTAAAATCTTGTCAGCGAAGACTTGGGTGTCCATCTGTTGCACAGATAACATACATACTGAAATGACTGCCATTTGTTACCAATACTAACAAAATAGTCAAGACTTCTTGTGTGTGTATGCATGATATATGTATTGCATATCTGCATATATGCAAATCTTATGTATATACATCTATTAGTTATATGTAAATATGCTTATAAATTTCTGCTTAAATATTTACAAACAATTAGTATATTTTTCAGGTTTAGTTTTTATATTGCTTTCAGTTGACTGAAAGGGCATATGGAAACAATAGGGACATATGGAAAAGAAGATCTGTTTTAAGACCAGATTGTGATATGTTTACTCATGTTGAATAACATACAAGAAATGTTCCTTCTGTGGCATAAAATACTCTGTTGCGAAGAAGTGTCACAATGCAGTAAATTGTATTCATTCACGCTGTAAGATATGTACATGCAGTAGTGATAGTGTCATGTCACAACTAAATCTGGGGTTTGATTGTTTAATTTATTTCTAAATTATATTCTATGATAATTTTCTCGAGGCACGGTTACTCTTTTCTTTTTTTACACAAACTGGGAACAGACTCTTACCTCTGCAGTATAGAAATTACCAAGAAGGATTATTGAGGTCTCCCATTTATAAACATTATGCTGTTTAGTTTACAAGCTTAAAAATGTGACTTTCAAAATGGATTGCTAATGCCACACTGTATCCAAATAGTGTTTAAACTGAAAAATTATTTGCTACTTAATGCTGTTGAGACACTGCACTCACCCTATTCTGCCTAGGCAGTAGCATGGGCCTCCAAAGTGTGAATGGTTTTATGCATGAGGTGCACAGTTACTCACCCTCATACACCTTGGAGAAGAGAAAGAATGGAATTTCAAGCTTGTCTCTGAACATCTTCCTTGAACAGCCTGAAGTTTAACTGCAAACTCTCCCACCCTTTCCTGCTGCACCCACACTGGTTCAAAAGTCCACCTGAGTTCCTGTCAAAACAGCTGGAGATATTGGCTCTGCAGCACTTCAGAAACTCAAGTCTGTACTCCAAACTTCAATTTTCTATTTGTGCCCAACACATGTACCCACACAGACACACAAGAGAAAGTTAAAGGGATGTTTGAAAAGCATTAACCCACTTCACCTGGGAAAATGCCAATTTGCATAGATGATTACTATATGTACAAGTAAGAAAACATAATTAAGGCCCTTCTGGTAGACATCACACAGGAGCCTTCCATTAAATTCTATAGGAGGTTGCTGCTGAGGCCTTGATCCTCACTAGTCCTACTCCTTGATTTTAGCCCAAAGTAAATGCCCCATGAAGGGGATAGATCTTTGATCCTGCAAACAGTTTTACATACATGGATCATCTGCAGAATCAGAAATGCCCCAAGGCCCCATAATAAAAATATGAAAAAAAAAAATATAAAGGCATATTTTAAATCTGAATGGCCTCTGTTAATGGAAGTACTATAGTTCCTCTACACATTTTCAAGGAGAGATACATTTTGCTCACAAAATATTCAAAATTAAGAAATGAAAGTGCATATTACTAGTTCCTCAATTATAAATTCCCTAGGAAAAAAATTCTAGTTTACTTCTCAATGGTAAATATGGATAAAGTCACTGCTAATTTCAACACCATTTCAATATAAAAAAATAGAATTTAACTAGAGATTTGGATTATTTAGACAAGATAACACTATTTTGCAAAAGAGATAATGCAGAAAGCCACAACCACTTTAAAAAATACAGCACTGGCAGTTTACATCTGTATAGATTATATCTATATAACCTAAAACAAATCCATGGATATGCCCAGTAACAGAAGATTCTTAGTTCATTCCCTTTTTTCAACGTAACATCTACACTACTCTCTTTTTGATTTACAAGCAGTAAGTACTTGATTCCAGTATTCATTACTTTCTTTGACAATAAAACTGTAAAAAAAACCTGACAGAAAAAAAAATACATTGTGTCAGAGGATCCATGAACATAGGGCAGCTTTACATGTCAAATTTGAAATCAAAGTACAGAAAAGTTAAAAATTTCATAATAATTAAGTCAGCAAATAAATTCCAGACCTGCCATGGAAACACTGACACTTGAACTAAGAGCAGCACTTGATCACACTGTAGTCATATATTATTATCCTTTAAACCCTAATTCTGCAGTGAATCTGCCCTCAGCATGGTAGCCCAGTCACACCTCCTTACATATTTCTGGGTTAATTCTTTGGTACTGGCACTTCCATCTTTCTCCTGGGTTCTAAAGCAGAAAGCACAGTCTTCACACCATAAGCAGCAAAATATAAAACTTTTTAGTCACATCCAAGTATAATTATGGGAAGAACACTGTCCACAAGCTGCTCTAATAGAAATCTTTCATAGAAAATAGCTAATCCTGAAAAGAGTAGCAGCTACCCCAGACTGCTACTTCCTCTGTAGGTGCAGACAGAGGGTGAGGAACTGGGCAGGCTGAGGTACCTGATCCCACAAGATGCTATGTGTCTTGAGTGAGATACAGTGTGCCTTCAACTCCAGCCAACATTGCCTGGAGTTACAGATGTTCAATACATTGGATAAACAGGTCTGTAAACTCTGGCAGAGTTTTGCACATTACTTACCTGAATATGAAAGACACTTAAGTGAAATGAGGCAGTATAATTAAGACTGTTCACACTCTACCACAAACCAAGAGCCATGTCTTGTTGCATCTTCTTTTAACCTGAAATCCACTATACAGATCAATAGCATATTGCCATAAAATTTATGCTATGAGGGGTTTTGGGGTTTTTTTGTTTGTTTGTTTTAATTTTATACAACCATAAGACTTGGAAGGAAAAAAGAATTCTAACAAATGAAAACAAAGTAATCTGGAAACATAAGATGGAGATGGAGACAAAATTTGACAGTGGTAAAACCTATTTTGCCACCCATCCTTACAGCCCTCTCCCAAGACGCAGTCAACAAACCGTAAGCATTTTGGTCATGACAGGGAAACATTTCACAAAGGTTCTCTATGTTTCAAGAGGACATGAACTGAATTTTCAATAAAACATTAGTCTCAAAGCTATTCAAAAGATTGCATTTTGAAAAGAGAAAAAAAGTTGTATCTAAGCAAAATTGTATAGAACTGTTACCCAAAGAACTAACAGAAAGCTTGAAACGTGACACAGAAGAAAGACATGCAAAGTATCCTGACACTGCTGTCACATTACAAGTCAGTACTTCAAGAGCAATGAATGAGATGTAAATATTTACCCTAGGTAGCTAGACTGAAGAATGCAAACAGATTCCATAGATATAATACAATTTGTCAATATCTTTACTGCTGGAAATGGAAATGTTAACTCCAGCAGGCCACTGATCCTGAAAGATGAGTATAATCAATTACATTTTTTACCTGTCAGTCATTCACATCATTGGCTTTCTTGCAGCTAACTGCTCCCCAGCCTTCCATTTCTTGTTTCAAGGCATTGAACAACTTTTTATAGCTGCTTTTCACTCAGTTTTTTACACAGATTCCCTACTGCCATCTCAGGTTAACACTGCTTGTTTCAGAGCTAGTCTGTTTTCGTCCCTTGTTTTCTCAGTGTTGCCTGTGTCCCCTGTCTCCCTCCTCAGAAAGGTGGCCCTTCTGATCTCTGAAGTGTCATCTTAAATTTCACTCTTCGTCAAGGTCCAAAAATTTTATCCACCTCTTACAACCTGATCCAAAGCTCACTGAAGCCAGCAAAAGCCTTTCCATTAACTTCAATGGACTATGAATCAGGACCAGATTGCTGTCAATAGCTCCGGACTGAAATCTAGCAAGAAAAAAAACAACAAAAGAAAGTGTATGCGTACCCCTGTTGTTAATTAGACTGTTACCTGAACATAGTCATGGTAATACTATATCTTAGGTTAATACCATCTGTGACTATTTCCAATATATTTTCAACAGTCCTTATGCAAAGGACTAAAGCCTTATATTGTTGTACTTTTATCTATACAAATTTGAAGTTATGTCAAAGACTTCTGACAGTTTTTGAATAAATAAGCATACACTAGTTCGTATCACTTCTTTTATATACTATAAAATACCATTCTACATCTAGCTAGGTAAAACAAGGAAAATTGTCATGTTTATGAACCAGGTTAGTAAATCCTTATAAAAAAAATCCAGAGTTAAAATGGTTTAGTAGAGTGACAGAGTATTCAAAAAGCACAGTGAAAAGTTTAAAGCCAGTATGTTTTAAATTCTCACTAGTGAGGATGTACAATGCTATTCCTGTAAGGAACCTCTGTCTACTGTTATGCTATTAATCTAACAGCAATTTGAAGAAAAAGAATCAACAATAACACCGTGACTCTCCTTCGTTCTTCTTGCCTTCATTCATTAACATTCTGTTACTTATTCCCTCTTCATGTCATTCTCCCTGACTTTTACAGCCTCATATCTCTAAAGCATAATTTTTATAAGGAAAAATTAGAATAAATTGCTTTTGCCCACCTTTCCTTCTCCTACTACTTTTTAATTTTTTGTAAGTGCCTTGTTGTAAAGCCAGTGCTTTTCCACAATACCAAAGCACTCCCACCAAGTGGTATAGGGATAATATAGGTTCTAACGGATAATTTAGGAGATCAAATGGAGTAAAATAATTAAGATACACAACTACTATGTAGCAGATTCTGTTCCTGTTATGGGAAAAGCTATCATCATCAAACAGCAACTATTGCCTGTATAAAGCCAAAACATTACACATTTATTAAAAGGTATCCTGTGGTTTGAGGTTATTTCAACAGTAATTACAACTCACATTTTTACCCTATACTGTACGAAACAAGGTATTTTAGGGGAGGGGATAAGAGTAACACTGGCTATTACCACATAACTTTGCCAAGTGTATCAGAAAGTACAAAGCCAGTTAGATGACCTTCACTGAGAGGGTACAGTTTTGAGGGTAGAGGTTTGGGGGATTTGTGTTTGGTTTGTTTTTTTTTTTTTTTTTTAATAAAGATATTTATGTTGACACTTTTATTACAAGGAAGTACACTCCACCCTCACAGCTTCAGCTATGGGAGGCAAATGTTTGTAGAAATGAAGTTACTGTTGCAACAAGGCTGCTTATGACATTGTTTAATTAAAAAAAAAAAAAGGACACAGTACATTGATAGGGGGTGGAGTGTATCGTAGATACAAAAGAGGGGTATTACTTCTCTTCTGTTGTCTGACATTGATGTGGGAAGAGAAGACAAAAACAAATGTATTTTCTTTCCAGCATTGAAACATGCAAAGACAAAATGCTCATTACAAGTTGTATGCAGCTCAGAATAATAATAAAAAGAAATGCCCCAGTATACTTGTTTGAATTTTTTAAAGATTTATATATTTAATTCTCTGATCTTTCAATTCAAAACTTAGAATTAAGCAATGAGTGAACAGGATCTGAAATACAGACAAGGCATTGCTCACATCACATTGAAAGGCATCTTTCAAATGCTGCTGTGGATTTCTAAACTTACACTGAACAGAATTTTTAGTTGCTGGGAATTTGAAATGCAAGATGAACCTGGCCACATTACATCCACTTTCTTTAAGTGGAATTGTAAATATATAATAAATTGCTGTTTCAAAGAGGCAACATGCAGAATTCAAAATTATTTGTTTCTTGCAGGATTCTGTTGACCTGTGCATGAAGAGGTATTGAAGCAGTGGTGCAGTGAGAATCACTACAGCGATACAAATCCACAGCTCAAGCACGAGATCCTAGAGGTTGGATCTCTGAGGAGCAACACAGAGTATACTGTTTTCCAAAATACACCACTTCTTTTAACCAATGAATTTAGTTTGAGGAAAACTGCTGCTCAAAAACTTTTTTTTTTCAGAAGAAAAACGGCAGGAAGGATGGGAGAAGGGAAGAGGTGGAAAAAGCATTATGATGACATTTAGCAGGGAGCTGCAAACAGAAAGCAAAGGCAAATATTTTAAATGTGATAGATTTCAACCAGAAATATGAAAGTATTTTCCCCATAAATTACTTGCCAGAGTTGGCTGGGACAACATTTGGATTGCAGCTACAGGCTGAAGCAACATGTTACGAAACAAAACAAACAGGCATTTATCCCCTACCCAAACACCCCCTTCCTCTCCCAGTTAGCAAAGTATGACTGATACTTTTGGTTGACTGCAAGGCAAGTATTAGCTAGAATCTCATTAAGCTAGATCCACATCCACAGTCCCAGATGTTTAAAACTTATCATGGATTAAAGCCATGAAATAAAAATTAAAGAAATTTCAATTTGAAATTTTATTGGCATGTTGCTAGAATGGTCAACATCGATCAACAGGAGAGACTTTGTCCACATATTCTGAGAACAGCCTTCCTGCACCTCCCCCCTTTTCTTCCTCCCTCTCGCTCTTTCAGCATTAATGCTATTAAAAGCCAAACAAAATACTGGCTATGGGTGTAAAGAATGCTGGTTTTTTTGGAATGTTGCCATGGATCCTGCTTCCAGTCGTGTCCCACGGAAGGAAGGTGTAGCCTCCTGTCTCTGTGGCAGGCTGGTCTTCGCGGGCAGGGCAGAAAGAAGATAGCCATGTACTCCTACTCCTCCCTATTCTTTCCCATCCACTATAGCCAGGTCTTTGATCACCCTCAGTTTGCCACTGGCATCGATCCTGCGCTTCTCGCGTATTAGATCCTCCAGGCTGTGGAACCTCACCGTGTGCACCTTGTTCTCTGCCAAGTGGATCTTGAGATAGTACTGCTGCTGGTGCTGGGTGCCGGCAGCCGCCTGCAGCTCCCCCCCGGCTTTGAACTCCCGTTTCCCGAAGCGGCACCAGGCGGCGAAGCTCTCGGAGTTAGTCCAGCAGATCTCGTCGCTTTTTAAGCCCAGGTGCCCGCAGGCGTTCTGCACCACCAGCTCCGCCACCAGCGGGCGGAAGCGGTACCAGCTATTCACCACCCGGCCCACGTTGCCCGCGGCCGCCTCGTACAAGCTGTCCTGGCGGATCTGACCCTGGTGCAGGTGGATGATCTGCCCGCCGCCCACGTACACCGCCCAGTGCGGCGGCGGGTGCTCCGACGGCCCCAGGTAGAGCAGCTCCAGCAGGTCCCCCGGCTTGCAGAGGGCAGGCAGGGCTGACACCGAGTAGACGCTGAGGTCCCCAGCCTGGGGGCCGCTGCTGACCTTGGAGAAGATGCATTCCTGGCCGCGGAAAGCGGAGAACTGGGTCTCGTTCAGCACCAGCTGGTGGTGGAGGGGGTGGGTGGGCGTCTCCTGGCCAGGGCTGCCGGAGCCCTTCACGCCGTACTTGTCTGGCTGGCCTCGCTCGTCCAGGTCCTCCTCCTCATCCGAAAAGAAGTAAGCCACCCCGACGCGTAGCTCGTCCTTCTCGATCCCCGAGGGGTCCCCGGTCGGCAGCTCGCTGTAATTCAGGTGGGTGATGCGATCCAGTTGATTTCCCATCAATGACGGGGCGAGGCGAGGGCAGGAATCGCCGGATCTGAAGGAGGGTGGGGTGGGCACAGACAGAGAACAAGAGATGGGAAGGAGAGTGCAAGCGAAGGGAAGAAAGAACGAAAGAAAAAAAAAATAAATCAAGGCACATACAAAAGACTTCAGCGATTCCGCCTAAGCCCCCATCCCTCCCCCACTGCTTCCCTCCCCTCTGTGCAAGGGATAAACTTCCAGTGAGGATCCTTCCCCTGCCCCCGGGGTGCGGGGCAGGGCACAGCCCCGACTCCCCGGCGCTCTCCCCACGGTACTGGAGCGCCTGGTTCCTAGCGCCGGGAGAGGAGGAGGCTCCTGCCGTCCGCCAGCGCTGGGCGGTGGGACCGAGCTGCCCCGGGAGTCTGCTCTCCCCCTGCGAGGGGAGAGGGCTCCAGGAGGGTCTGGCCGGAGGGTCCCAAGCCCTCCCTTCCGCTAGCACAGCCGAGCCGAGCCGTGCTGCTTACGGGGAGGCGGCTGGAGGAGCCCCCGGGGCTGGTAGCCCTGCCTGCCCGCTCCCCACAGCCCGCCCGGGACCCGGCAAAGAACAGGAAAACCGCAGGAGAGCGGCACCCTCCCACACCCGAGGGGTCCTTCCCGTCCCGCTCCGTACCCGTGGTCGCCCAGCGCCAGAACCCCCCCAAACTCCTTTAAAGTCGTCCTGTCCCCATGGGCGCCGCAGAAGGAAGCCAGCTCTGTCCTCCTCGCCGCTGCTGCCGCCGCCCGGCTCCTCCGCCCGCGCCGCTCTGGGCGGCCCGGCCCCTCCGGCGGCCCTAAGTAGCGGCGGCGCCGCTGCCGAGCCCGCCCCGGCCCCGCTCATTGGCCGCGCCGCGCCCCGCGCTGTTGGGGTTGGGTCGCCTCACGGCTCCGCCGGGCCCCGGACCCCGGACCCCGACCCGCGGCTGCCCCGGGGCTGCTCAGGGGGGACCTGCCGGGGAAAGCGCGTTAGACCACCTCGCGAAGCCGCTGCAAAGCTAACCCCCTGCACCAGAGGAAATAAAAAGAAATAATAAAAAAAAAGTCGTTTTTAGCCAGCTAGCCCGCCCAGGTTCAGCAGGTGGGACACGCGCGGCCAAGAGTTGTTCCGTCCCTCGAGGCTGGACGTGGGTTCCCTCTCACCTCACTTCAGCGATCTCAGGTTGTGCCTGTGCGGTCTAAGCTGATAGCCTGGGTTTCCCTTTCGTGAGGAGAGACAAGCATTTCCAGAGGGCTGTTCCTGTTGCCTGTTGTGCCTCCTGTTTTAGGAATTGCCTTAAGGAGGTGCCTTGCCATTGTCTCTTGCCATCGCCTAGATGTGAAGTCAGAATGTTTGATGGTTGGCATTAGGTGAAATGACTCTGTCTTTCCACATCTTAATGAAGTAGCACTTGTGGGTTGTCCTCAGATGTGACTGAGGACGTGTGTCCTCAGACATGCTATGGTTTAAGTAAAATATTAGACTGACAGTAGCAGTCCATTCCTTCTGAAAATGTATGAAATCTAAAATCCATCATCTGTAGTAGCCAATAACAATGCACACTTAACCATCTAATTTTGCACATTATGGAAATGGAACTCAGAAAGCCTTTTCCCATGAGGTTGTGTCAAAGATGGGATTGTAACCTGGTTCTTCCGACTTCTTAGTCTTCTGCTCTAACCATGCGAACTTCTGAAAAGTGAGAATTTAAATATTTTAAGACACTTCATGAAAAAAATGTAATGACGTTCTTTGGCTCAGATGTGAATCATATTAAAGTACCATTTTTAGCTAGAAGTAAATCTACTACTTTCTTCACAGTGGAAATAGTTTTGTCATCTAGACATAAGTATTTCTGCTTTCAGTGTGTCAGTAGATAATATCTCTCTTCACTGCTGTCCTTTTCCCAGTCTTCAGGTTTAATTAACTGAGAACAATAATGCCATCACTTTATTCTTGTGATAGAGAGAAGTACATCCTTAAATAAATATAGTGAATTTCAGTTTCTCAGGGTACAAGCTGTATAACTACGTTCATATGGATCAAATACTGAGTTTCTTGGAAAAATGACCCTTTTCTGTAGACATTCAAATATAGAAGAATTGTTCTCATATTTTTTTTAACATATGCAAAGGTATCACATCATAAATGGAAGAGAAGAAAGGGTGTGTTTAGTGGCATTCAAAGACTGGCATCGGTTATTTTTTTCACTGTGGCAATCATACTAATCTGTTGATGGTTACAAGCTTCCCATGTCTCATATACCTGGAGCTATGGCCAGAGACTCACAGGAGTTAAGCTGATTTACAGCAGTTAAGAATGTAGCATTCAGGGTCTGTAAAACTAGAAAGTTAATTTGAAAAAAAAAAAAAAAAAGAAAAAATTGTTTTCTAAAATATATGTTTTACACTTTCACAGGACTAAGTATAACAGATGTTATTTATCTCTGGATTTGTGTAAATACTTTTCTAATGATTGTCAGAAATTATATGTTCTTTTACAGCATGACCTTCCTCAACTGCAACATTTTAAATTAAATTATGAAAACACTCTAATAGGTTTAGAGTTAAGACTGCAAAACAGTGTTTAAATATTTTGACTTTTTTTGATAACTGTTCATGCGCTTCATTGTTAAAGCTAGTCCAAATTGAAAGCCATTTTCCATAGACCTTCATCAACAGTTTCTGTTTTCTAAACACTTTACATTTTTCTGTTTAAAGTCTGCATCTTTTTAGGTTGCACTCGCACAGTTTGCACTTCCCACGTTTGCCAATCATCAAGGCTATATGGAGTAATTTTTAGATAGTTCTAAACAAACAAAACATTATTTCATCCTTTCCATGCAAAATAGCGGAGAACAGACTGCTTCAGCAAACTGCAGGTGCAGAAGGATGGAGTCTGGGTATAAGAAAGGCTCTGCACTTCTAACAAGGTGGAATAATTCCTGCCAAATTTTAACTATTTTTGGGGGGTCTTCTCTGGTTTTGCAGGTCTGATCAATGAGGGTGTTATGTCTCTTGCTGAAGCACTTACAATCCATTACAATCCATATCTCTCCATGACCTCTATTCAACAGAACTCCAACACCCATTTTCTCATTTCATTTCCGTTCTCTTCATGCTCTACCTCCATCCCTCTAGAAGAACTTTCCCCTCAGTTTCTCTTCAATCACAGTTTTGAATTAATACATGGAAAGATGTTGCCTTAAAAAACCCCAGAAAACACATCAACCAACAAACCAGCAAACCCCCAAACTTATAAGCATACTTATATATAGCTGTGACTAAAGGACACTACTGGGGATGTTTGTTTTGCCTGAACTAATTTGGTTAATAGGTTTATCATCTCCTTTAGACGTTTAACTTCAGGGAGCTCATGGGGTCTTATTAGATGATGGCATTGGCAGTGTAGCATCACTGTTCACACTCCCATTGACCAGCTTCAGCCTCATTAACCAGAGTCATAATCTCTCCTTGCACCAGGACATGGGAATTGTGATGCTACTAACCCTAGTTCGTTGTTACTAACCCTAACAATTTTTTCTGCATTCTGAGCAAGGGAAAGAAACCTGATAATATCTCTGGTTCTGTCCTGGTCTACTCTGAGGGAGTGAATTTACATTTTTCTATTGCTATTTTTTCTTTTTGTGCCTTTTTCCATCCTTGGCATTTTGTCACTGTTGCATTTATGTTTAATTTAATACAGTGAAAAACTCTTAAAATATGTAACAAAATAGATACCCAGTAGCTTATTTTTTTAAATATTTTTTTTTAAATGTTCTTATCATCCTGCCTTGAGCTGAGGGAGCTTTGGACCCCTGTTGCTAAAAGTGGAGCTGAAACCACCATTGATTTTAATGAGTGAAGAACATTTTGTGCAGAAAAGTTTAGGGAAATATGTTTGAAAAAAACAACCAGAGATAAAATAAGTGATGATAAGGGGGGGAACTTTCCTATCTGTTATAAAGTTTAGATTGTTGAAATCAGCCCATTACGATTCTGTTAATGTTGAATCTCAAATGTCTGGAAGCTCTTCTCTGTTTCAGCTTGCGGTTTGGACTGCCCATAGGCACCCAGACATAAAGGGTACCAGGAAACATCCTCTTCACGTGAAATTCTCTAAAGTGGCTCCATTTGTATCCATATGTACATACTCCATATAGATTTCTCCTGTTCATATACCTTTATTACCGTCTCAGTGTACCTAAGGCCTCAGAGACATAGGATACTGGTCCTTTGAGGAACCTGTGATCTGGACCACAACAAAAGTAAATCATAGAGTTACTCACTTTTTGCAAACAGCTTTGCATACATGTTGTCCACGTACCATGCAGGACTAAATGTTCTGATCTGACATACTGTGGATAAACATGGGCCCTGCTGTTGGGTAAACATGTGCCCTGCTAACCATACAGCAGCAGGCACACTGCACGACTAAGTACAGTTTCTCCATCTGACTAGTCTGGGAGAGTCATGAGATTTTGGATAGGTTGAGAGAGATGGGCCTATTGACCTTGAGACTATTATGGGAGACCTCAAATATGTGAAGGGAGGGTGTCAAGAGGATGGAACCAGGCTTTTCTCAGTGGTACCAAACGATAGGACAAGAGGCAACAGGCAGAAACGAATATACAAGAATTTCCACCAGAACATGAGGAAGAACTTTAATGTGTGAGTGCCTGAGCATTGGAACCAGCTGCCTAGAGAAGTTTTGGAGTCTCCCTCAGCGGAGATATTCAAGAACCGTCTGAACTCAGTCCTGTGGAATGTGCTCTAGGATGACCCTGCTTCAGCAGGGAGGTTGGACTAGATGACCCACACTGGTCCTTTCCAAACTTACCCATTCTGTGATTCTGTGATTTTGGTCATGAGCCTTGGACAGCTTTTGCCATTTTTATCCCATGGTGGCTAACTCACTCAAGAAGATAATTGTGGTCAGTTTTTCCTGTTGCCTCTTTTCTGCTCTTCTATTTGCTTCTGGTGATTTTATGGTTCTCGCATTCACAGGGTCACTTGTAAGTAAAATTCTCTGGCCCTGAGGTCCAGTATAACCATATAATTGTCCATCTGGACTTTCTAAACTCCGCAACCAAATAGCTGTGTCCAAACTGCCTCTTAGGGATTATTCCTAATTCATTTTAATCCCTAAAATGTATGGAAGAATAATATCTGACCCATGCCAAAGCTTTTCCAAAGGCCATGCTGGCCAATTAATAGTATGAATAATACTTCAGTCGTCCTTGGACCTCTGACCTGACCCTGTTTAGACTCTACCCAGCTCCTGGGGAAGCCTCATTGCTTAAAGTTCTCAGGGAGTAGCTGGGCAGGGTGCTGGATAGGGGAAGAGTCTGGGGAGCTGGAGGTGCCCCCTCCCCCAAGTGTAGCCCCCCCTGCCCTGGCAAAGGACCAGCTGAGGCCAAGCCAGGGGAGGTCATGGCAGTCATGCAAGGCCATCCCAACTCAGGCAGCCTGGCCCGATGCTGGAGCCCCATCCAAGCCTTCTCAAAGCTCTTCCTCATTAAATTTGCTTTTCTCCTGGACATCTTATCGAAGCTTCATCTTATTGGAGCTGATCTTGAACAGGTAGCAAACTCCAAGGAAGTGAGGGAAGAGCTTGTAGATTTTGCTGGAGCCCTGACAGTGGCATCATATTCATACACTGGAGTATAAAAGAAAGATAACTGAGGGACTAGATTTTCATTTAGATGTCTGTCTGTCTACACTAAATGGAAACTGAAGTGAATGCATAGGGGTTTTTTTATAGGGGAGGGGTGAGAAGGAGATGTT